GTTTTTTCTTACACGGTCTTTTTTACTCGGTTTTTTTTTACGCGGATTTCGGAATTTACGCGGTTTTTTTTTACGCGGATTCCGGAATTTACGCGGTTTTTTTTTACGCGGTTTTTTTTTACGCGGGACGTATCACCCGCGTAAAAAGCGACTCCAGTGTATATGCATATAAACTCATGCAATATGGATATCTACGGAATGGGCTTGATGAGTTGAAGCGTAAAATCAACATCCACCGCCATTTTGGAATTCAAGTTGGCGAACCGAAATCCAATATGGCGGCTTCCGGAGAGCGCATCTAAACCCATGCAATATGGGTATCTATGGAATAGGCTCAATGAGTAAAAGTGGAAAATTGACATCCGCCGTCATTTTGGCATTCAAGATGGCGGACCAAAATCCAATATGGCGGCCTCTAAACAGCGTATATGCATCTAAACCCATGCAATATGGATATCTACGGAATGGGCTTGATGAGTTGAAGCGTAAAATCAACATCCACCGCCATTTTGGGATTCAAGATGGTGGACAAAAATCCAATTTAGCGGCTTCCAGAGAGCGCATCTAAACCCATGCAATATGGGTATCAACGGAATAGGCTCGATGAGAAGAAGTGGAAAATTGACATCCGCCGCCATTTTGGCAATCAAGCGGCGGACCAAAATCCAATATGGCGGCCTCTAAACAGCATATATGCATCTAAATCCATGCAATATGGATATCTACGGAATGGGCTTGATGAGTAGAAGTGTAAAATCAATATCCATCGCCATTTTGGAATTCAAAATGGAGGACAAAGATCCAATATAGCGGCTTCCGGATAGCGAATATGCATCTAAACCCATGCAATATGGGTATCAACGGAATGAGCTCGATGAGTGGAAGTGTAAAATTGACATCCGCCAACATTTTTTAATTCAAGATGGCGAACCGAAATCCAATATGGCGGCTTCCGGAGAGCGCATCTAAACTCATGCAATATGGGTATCTACGAAATGGACTCGATGAGTAGAAGTGTACAATTGACATCCACCACCATTTTGGAATTCAAGATGGTGGACCGAAATCCAATATGGCGGCTTCCGAAGAGCTAAACCCATGCAATATGGGTATCTACGGAATGGGCTCGATGAGAAGAAGTGGAAAATTTACATCCAACGCCATTTTGGAATTCAACATGGTGGATCAAAATCCAATATGGCCTCTAAACAGCGTAAATGCATCGAAATCCATGCAATATGGATATCTACGTAATGGGCTTGATGAGTAGAAGTGTAAAATCAATATCCATCGCCATTTTGGAATTCAAAATGGAGGACAAAAATCCAATATAGCGGCTTCCGGATAGCGAATATGCATCTAAAACCATGCAATATGGGTATCAACGGAATGAGCTCGATGAGTGGAAGTGTAAAATTGACATCCGCCAACATTTTTTAATTCAAGATGGCGAACCGAAATCCAATATGGCGGCTTCCGGAGAGCGCATCTAAACTCATGCAATATGGGTATCTACGAAATGGACTCGATGAGTAGAAGTGGACAATTGACATCCACCACCATTTTGGAATTCAAGATGGCGGACCGAAATCCAATATGGCGGCTTCCGAAGAGCTAATATGAACCTAAACCCATGCAATATGGGTATCTACGCGATGGGTTCGATGAGTAGAAGTAGAAAATTGACATCCAACGCCATTTTGGAATTCAACATGGCAGATCAAAATCCAATATGGCGGTGTCTAAACAGCGTATATGCATCTAAATCCATGCAATATAGGTATCTACGGAATGGACTCGATGAGTAGAAGTGGAAAATTGACATCCGCCGCCATTTTGGAATTCAAGATACCAGACCAAAATCCAATATGGCAGCCTCCGGACAGCGTATATTCACTGCTTATTTGGAAGATTGCCTTGTAAGTTTTCTGGCTGAATGTCGGAGATTCGTGAGCATTCCTGACGTTGCTTAAATTTACGACACGCATCAGAAATGCTTGTGAATATTTGAGGTGGACACAAGGGTGAACAAAAAGGTGAACGCCTAAGCTTTTTCACATTCATATCGCTATGAAGAAGTGTTGAGGGAATTTATATCTGTAACTAGGGGAAATGACGGCTTCGGCATGACAGACTATTTTCGACAACCCAAATTGAAACACAATGCATGCAAACGATTCTTTAAGCTTTCAGCTTCAATTTGACTATATTTTTACCACTGAGAAAAAGCAATCTAGCAGAGTTTTCTTGAAATGAAACACACGCACTACAAATTGTAGCTGATTTCGAGTTGCCGATAATAGAACAGCAGATTTACATGCAGTTCAAATGGAACGGTTGCCGAAGAAAAACTGGTTGCCGACAATACTCACTCTCACTAGAGAAAATTGGAGCTTTGTAAAAGCGTTTCAAAACAGTTTTTAACAATTCTTTCGACTGAAATTGTTAAAGCAGCTGGCAGCAAAATATTGTAAACAAACCAATACTGCATATGTGTGCGTTCCATAGAGAAAAAGTCTATAGAAAGAAGGTCGCTGCTTAGGTTGCCGAGAATACGTAAATTCTCCTATATCCAGTTCGTTGATAAACTGGTTAAGATGTTATACTTAATTATCTTAAAGATAAATCGCCCAGCTCAAACCTTTGTAGGGGTAAGCGGTGGGACCATCATGATCAAAACAGATGAAAATGTTTCATGTTTTGGTAAATTGTCACTCAAAACAAAAGCAATCACAAAAGGAATTACGTGACCTAATATGGACCCTCATTTAATTGACACCTTCTAACAAACTTTATACGGAAATGTATTTTCCCCTTTTTTTCGAATAGAATTAGACCAATGTTTTCCATGAATTGAGAGCAAATGAATTGTAAAAGATGAATTCCGATGGAATTTACAAGGAAATCGTTCCAACTTTCATGTAAAATTAAACAAAGCCATAAGTGGGCCCCGTAACGTGGGTAGATCACTGTGTCATGGTACGTTACGGGATTTAATATTTTCCACCTCCTAGCCTTTGTTACTTTTTATACCTTGTTGATAGTGACAAGACTCGGCTTTGTCCACCGAGAATGATCTTGAAACAACGAAAAAATGAGTTAGTTAGTCTTCATCTATGTGATTTCTAATCTTCTATTCGTTGTTCCCTAGGTTGAAGTGCTTAAGACTAGGGTTCTGATGCATGGTCATTATCGGTGTCACCCTCCAAAGGGGCGCGCAGAATATGTAAAAAAAGAGGGGCTTCGGATGTTAATCTAGAACATATATAGAAGTAGCAGACATGCTTTGCAGTGCCAGGTACTCTATTTTGTAGTCTGTGAGAGGGAAATCACAAATAGAGTGTCTTCAAAATACATGGCATGTATTGAGATTGGGCTCAAATTTCAAAAGAATTTTCTCTCTCAAATTTGAATTTGTTGGCTCTCTGGGGACTGGTAGTAAAGCGAGTAAAACTGTATGGGGAAAACAATTTTTATTTAATAATAAAAGGGAAATAAGAGAACGACAAAGTCCATGAAAGATTATTTTAGGCTGTCGTTCACTTTTGATGGCCTGAATATGCATCGAAAGCGAATGATTCCCACTGCTCTCAATTTCTATATGGAGATTTTTATTACTTCCTACCAGCGGAGCGCCATCTCTGTGGAAAATGGCCTGACTATTTGATTCATTGTCAAATTGATGAAACACTATCAAACACAACACCATGGGCTTTGTGTTCCAAAATGTAGTTGACTACATGTAAGGTGAGGTACCTGCAGTGTGTCTCATGCTCCAAAACCGATTGACCAGTTCTTAAGAACACCATCTATACATATAATAATCTGGAAGGGATTTACTCACCTCATGAATCAAAATTTCGACGTATGAATTGCCAGTTTACAAATATCTCATGCATGGAATTTTCTACACTCTAGTCAGGTAACACAATTGAACATGAGCGAAGCAAGCCATCTTCCTCTACACTCTCACCTTCAGCCAACACCCAATAGACACGCCAAGAAGTTCATACCCCACAATGTTTCTATGCATGCAATCATTGCAAAGAGCCTTCATCCCACCTCATCCGCTATCTCTCTCTCTCTGGCTCTTCACTTAACAGCGTAGAACAGTGCCAGTGTCTATTTGTGCCGTGAAAGCCGCGCCGCACCGGAGCAGACCTGTTTCCAGCACTACAACCTAATAGCACCACCGCCACCACCATCAGGTCGTCCGGCAACGGGAGGCACTATAATGGGATGCTACATTAAAATAGCCTATTATGTTAGTTTAATGCGATTTAACATAATGATTATTATGTTATAATTCAGATCGGAGCTCGGTCGGTGTGCTTTGCTTCGACAACCCTCAGCTACCTTTGCGCTGTTATGCAGGGAGAGCAGGAGAGGTGTTGAAATCGTGAAACCAGCAGCTCTTCACGGAGTTCACTGAGGTGTACGGACGGATGCGGAGAACACTGAAGCTTCAAGACAGAGACACAGCTAGACGATGAGATGATATCTCGCTATTGAACATCCGTTGAAGCGGAATCGGATTTTAGCTACCACGGTGCTCCATTCTCAAGCCGGTACTTATCTAGTGGTTCCTGTGTATGTGTTTGTGAGTTGGATGGAGATCATCATCATCGTCATCTACTTCTTCGAAGAAAAGGGGGAAATGGAAAGTTTGTTGCACTGTCTGTCTGCTTGTCTGTCTACAATGGAGCGGACGGAAATCCAGGTGTTGAAACACGCGAGCGCAGCCCTAATGGGACGCTGCAACCGGATTCGGATTTTCACGCATCGATGGGAGATTATCGTCAACTGTTGTCAAAAGTGGTACTCGATTTCGCCTGAATTCATACATAAGTTCTATTGTTTGCTAATGTCCGTGAATGGAGTGGCAATGCAAGGCTTCGTTATCTGGGTGGAAGCGTTGATGACGAACAACGACCAACGAACGAACTTGAGCAAATAAGATAGCATTATTGAAATGGGAATATTAGGACTAGTTTACATACCTGTTTGTGCATTTCCACATTGAGACCGTAGGACATCTCGTAGTACTGAAAGCGATAGGATCGAATTTGAGATTGTTAATAACTTAATATTGAACTAAACTGATTTGTTTCGAAACATTCACTGCCTAAGCGGTTTACAGAACGGTGAGATTTTTATCATGAGAAACAGCTCGCCCTTATTCCACTTGGTTGGTTGGTCGTCTTCATTAAAAATATTTTCAGCCAGATGCGTGAACGACATATCAGCTTTAAAACACACTTTTCAGCGCACTCAAATCACGTTCGATTCCCTCCCCCTATCAGCGCACTCCAACCAACCAACCAACCAGTGCTGAAAATCATTCCAACAACGAATCAAACATCGCTGCCGTCCTGCAGCTAATTAAAAACAGGAAATTATTTTCCCATCAGCCGTGTTTACTACTATCGGACTATCTCTTTCTGCGACACATCAGACAGCACGCGCGACATTGACAAACAATCGGAATCACTTTATCAGCGTGTAATATAATACTATGTAGGAAGGTACCATCATTTCGGTCGCAGGGGGAAAACAAATTCCCAACAATGCCACCAATGCACCATTTCGCGACACCTTTTGTCATACCGAAGTGTTTTATTTTTTACATTATCACGATTTTGTTGCAATTTATTCAGCCCACCAGAAGGCCTGCCTATAAATGTATGTTTCGTTGTTATTTTTCAATCGAACCCCCCATCCGGGGGGTTCATCCACGCGAAGCACGTGTTTGAAATATTTGAAATGGTTTCGAATTCCATTTCCTGTGCATTTCGGTTGCATGCCGCAATGCCACTAGCTCATATTAATTGTCATCAGTCACGAAAAAAAAATCAATCGATTTGTGCCCGCTTTTTCCGAAACCCCACCACCGCTCCTGTGAAATGAAATGTTTCGAAACAAATAGCAGTTACTAACGACGAGCATAAATGAAGCCAAACTTACCATCACATAGTGCCGCTGCATTTCCGTTTTTTCCTGAGCTAATTTTTCACATTCCATTTTTAAACTGGGTTCCGGCGGGAAAATTACGATGCGGGTCCACGCGCAAATATGGTGGAAGGAGCGAAAAAGAAGAAAAAAGAATGTTAGCAAATGTTTCATTTTCTCGAGTTCTTAGCTGAAAAAAAAAGAAAAAGGAACAGTGGGGCGATAGGGATAGAGTATTAGGGGAGAACCAACTGTGAAAAAGTGATTACATTGGGGCAGGGGGATAGGAAAATCGAATCGAAGGAAACAAACTTTTTTTGTGAAATCAATTACAGTAAAGTGAATTTGACGGCTGCCAACGAGTGAAAAAAAGGGAGCGGGGTGAGTTCGGATAGAAACAGGAAACAGGGAGTGAAAGGAAATTTTAGAAAATGGAAAAAAATAATGATGAGTTGACGTGGCACATGGTAGCCTGGCTCTGCCCTCCCGTTCCATTCCTTTCGATTCGATTTTGTTTAAGTTGATGTTGGATAGGTTAAAGGAGGTAGACCAGTTCAAAGAGGTCGAAATTGGATGTGGTAAGAAGCTATGACCAGAATGGAAATATTTAAATATCATTGGATTTTATGGATTTAGGAATCTCGTAGGCACCTTGAATTCAGCAAAAAAAGGCACTTTTCATAATTTCGTTTTCTGCAAACTATTACTTAGAAATTCCAAATGCTTACAAAAATTAGAAACAGCATTTTAGTTTAAAGCGTTGTTTAGACAGTGTTGTTTATTTTTGGATTAAAGGCTTTAGTGCCGTGTTACCGAGCTCTAAATCTCACTGTATCAGAGTTTTGTTTAATTTTTTTCCTTAATTTGTTTTCCGTACTGAGGACCAACGCTACCGACGCCAGGAAAGCAGGTTCCACACCTGGACCCTACTTTCTTTTCGAAGGAAGGCGTGATCAGAGATTGTATGCCTCCCAAAATCCCAGCAACGCCGACTGGGATTGAACCTAGGCCCTTTGGGGTGAGAGGCAATCACGCTTAACACCACCGCCGACACCGCTAATAACATTTATCTTGAACATCATGCAATGATTTACATTCTTATGGACGACTTGAGTCAGGATGACATTAGGACGTATTTATATCCTGCAGTATGGCTGCACTGGATGTGTCTGCAGTGGTGCCGCTTTTATTGTTCGTTCACAGTAGCTGAGCATTTGTCTCCTAATTATATTGCAATCACGCAATCGATGGATACGATTCAACAACCGTTTTAAATTTAATGACTTTTTCTACATTATTTGTGATTGCTTGGAGCATGGAAAACGGGAAAAGAAAAATTGAATCTCTGAATCGACCTTTTCCGAATTATATGAAACTTTGCCTAATTGTTTGTTACGGGAAATGATAGACATTTCTGTTGAAAAGCGGCCATTTTAGATCTGGTAAAATTTTCAAATCAGTGTTAATTGTTTCAAAATATGTAGCACGGAAACGCCATTTCTGATCAAAATGACAGCCAAGACGAAGTTGTAGAGAAATAATTTCCATGTGGCAAAAATAAACAGAAATATGTTAAATTTTTAATTTTTAAATTAAATATTTAAAAAAAATGAAAACTCATAGGGTAAATGTCGGCTTCGGCACCCATTGACTGTTTTCGGCAATCAAAATTTAAACGTTAATTTCACTATGTTTTACCATCAACACACTTCCCTGAATGTATCCAAATGATTCTTTAGTCTTTCAGCTTCAATCTGATTATATTTGTAGGACCGAGCAATCCTTTTATGCCAGATTTTTCTTCAAATGAAGCATACGTAATACAAAATGGGGCTGATTTCGAGTTGCCGATAATAGAACAGCTGGTTAACACGCAGTTCTAATGGGAAGGTTGCCGAAGAAAAAGAGGCTGCCGACAATAGTCACACTCACCTGAGAAGTTTAGAGCGTTGTAAAAACGCTTTCAAACAGTTTTGAAGAATTCTGTCGATTGGAATGGATAGAGAAGCAAGCAGCAGATGAATTGAAACAAACAGGCACGTCATATATGTGCGTGACGCTGTGAAAATGCTAATAGAAGTGCGGACGCTGCTTAGATTGACGAGAATACGTAAATTCCCCTATATAATTTTTTCTTCGCTTGATTTTTTTTATTTAAAAAAAAATGTTTCGCAAAAAGTTAAAAAAATTTATGAAAAGCTCAATTTTAAGAAGAAAAATCAAAATCCAAAATAGTCGAATTTAATCAAAAATGTGAATCATTGCCCATAACAAACAAATATGCAAAGTTTAATGCAAATCGGAGAAGGCTGTGTTTTTCCGAATCGTCGAAAGTTCATCGATGATGGCGGGGGGATCTCACTCTCCGACGATGATTCTCTGCTGGATTTTCCTTCTTCTGAGGCGATGAATACCTCTGGTGGTGATGGGTTAGCCACCAATAAGTACACCGGAGAGTATCCAAAGATTAAACGATCTCCACAGCCATCTTCTCCACAAGCACCTCCATTGCCCCTTGCTCCATCCGTTCCCCCGAGAACATCACCTGCCCCCCGCTCTAAGGCATCCACATAAGACTCGAAAAGGGATGGGGGGGGGGGGGGTGTGGTTTCTTCTTTCAACGAAAACAAAAGGTTTTGAAGGTTCATCAGATTTCAAAAGATCTGATTGACCATTTTTCAACCGTGACCGAGATTTTGAAAGTAAGACCAAATAAACTACGTGTTACCGTTAGCAATCGTGTGCAGGCAAACAAGATGGTTATATTTGAGCTTTTTTTTTGGAATATCGAGTATATATTCCAAGTAAAGAAGTTGAAACCGAGGGAGTTGTTACCGAAGCGAGTATAACTCGCAATAATTTCCTGAAAGGCGAGGTTGGTGTCTTCAAGAACACTCACCTCCCGAAAATTAAAATACTAGACTGCAAACAAATGCATTCAGTGTCCCTCGTTAAAACGAAGAAAACTTACACGCTTTCGGACTCGTGTCGTGTGACCTTCGCCGGGTCAGTACTACCAGATTACGTCGCGATTGGGATGATCCGATTACCTGTGCGCTTGTTTGTACCAAAGGCAGTGTCTGTTTTTATCATTTACCATCACACGCAAGGAGTAGCGCTTCAACCAATTCAGTGCCAACATTTCAAAGGGGCGTAATTGTATTTGTAAACAATGGCTTTAGCCGTCGATTTCTCGCGAATAAAAGCTCACTCATGAAAAATAATGACACCAGCAGGTAGAGGAATGTTTCCTTTACCAGCTAGCATTGTTATTTTGGAGAGGTAAGATTTCATTCGCGAGAAATTTACGGGTAAAGTCATTGTTTACAAAAGCAATTACGCCCCTTTGAAATGCTGGCACTGAATTGTAGATGAATTGTGCTGCTTTTGAATATCTTTGCTGTCACGTACGAGCGAAACGAACAAATGAGTTCAAAATACATCAACGAATACGCGTTTGTTGATATTCACCAGTGCTTGATTATCCATCCAACTCAAAATTGTCAAAATCAGAAACGATCTTCAATAGCAAAATAATCAAATTTATTTTGGGCAAAATGATTATTTTGGATATTGTCGACCCTAGAGCCTAAAACCTCGATATTATCATCAATTCAGCATGAGGCAATAATTTTGCATCGATTTGTGTGTACAAACCAATACAACATGTTTTACATCGCTTTATTTGTGAAAACGAAAATATTCATTTTGCATTTGATCCTCAAAATCACCACTACACTACACCAAGCTGAAGACGAATATTAATATTGACAATAACACAGGCGATCATGAAGATACAGTCACGAATGAACAAAAACAAATGTTGACTTCGATACTCAGAGGTTGCCTTGGTCAAGAGAATATTTTTATGTCAAAATTCAAATTCATGTAGGTAGTTGGTCTATCTGTTAAGGTTGTCTTCATTTTCAGCTAAGTTGAGTGTAGAAGGAATGATTTTTATCAGCACTGACCAAAGGTAATGAACTGCACAAAATGAAAGCGACTAGGGCACACTGCGGCTTTCTGTGGTAACAAGCTATGCTGTGATCAATGTGGGAAGAAACATAAGGAGGTTTCTTGTCGTGCCTTCCCAAAATGTCCTTATTGTTTGGAAATTCCGCATGCTTTCACTGATTGTCCAAGATACAAACAGCAGGGAGAAAAACTTCAGCGGTCTTTGAAAGCTCGTGATCAGTTACTCCATCTTCCCGAGTTCCCCCGTGTAGTAACCCCTTCGACCTTCTCTCAGTTGATGACCAGGGCCCTAATGTTGACGGGGGAAGTCATTTCGTTTTCAAAGCCCCACCTAGGAAGCGATCCAAAATTATCACACAACAGCCTCAGGAGGCCTCTCGCATTGAACCTCGAGTCGTCTTGATGAAACCAGGAAGTAGCGGTAATGTTCCGAAAGCCGCTCCACCGGGTTTCAAACCATTGGATGCTAATAGGGACTTTCCGTGGCTTCCAGCTTCTTCCAAGGCTCCGGATATTCCAGTTCCACAGCCATGTTCACGTCTTCTGGAATTGTAGATGGCATTCTCGAAATATTGAATGTGTCTGACTCCATGAGGAACATTATTGTATTGATGATTCCAATGTTGAATACTCTTTTGAATGTCTAAATGGCCAATCCTTCCGTCGATCATCAACTTCAACGTTTAAAATTACTAACGTTTGAGAGTGTGGTAGAGTTTTGTCTGTTCGTGTATCAATTTTAGTTTCTGTCCTCTCATCGTTGTCCCTTCCCAAGCCCCTCTTTTATGTTTCGTTGCAGTTGTAAACAATCACCAGTCATCTCGAGAGAGATCAAGAGCACTTTTCCGTCACTTCAATGCATCTCCCATGGTCAACCGTCGAAAAGCAGCCAGTAAACGGCGGTGGAGATAAATATATCACTCACATCCTTGTGTACCTTTTCCTTGATCCCTTTCCTACATGTTAATAGATTGTAGTCCGTAACCCGCGAGTATTCGGACACCTCTTGTACTAACTCTATTTTTAAGAAACCAGGGCTGGTAGCGATCACTGCTGTCAGAAATAGTTATTTTAGTGACCATGTTGAATAAATTAGTGACCAAA